TTACTGTTCATGATTAAGAACTGGCCCATTCTTCATTGTTTGTTTATTGACTGCAGGTAAATTCCCTATTGTTGACCCCATCAAGGCTTTGTAGAAGCTGATAATCTCTGCTTGTATCTGCTGCTGGTCAGTTATTTTGTTTCCAAAGCTATCTTGTAGTTCTGTGATAACTTTCCTCTGCCTTTTTTCCTTCACTACTGCTGAAAAATATTTGGAATTGGCATCTCCTAGTCTTAACCATGTAGCTCGAGCCTTTTGTTGCAATATGCTTTCTTCAATTAATGACCATTTCTCCAAGTTCTCTAAAGCTTGTTTTTCCTCATTAGCTAGTTTGTCTGAATAACTTTTTGATATTTAGGCTTGAATATCCTGCAGTAAACTCCTAGTTGATTCCAGCTTATCTTTGATGACCTTGAATTCACTGTTGTTAAGCTGCTTCAACAAAGATCTTAGAATCTTCAACTTCTGCGATATATTCTTCATAGGGTCATGATCATATTGTTCTTTCCATACTCCTTCCAGAAGTGGTATAAAGCTTGGATATTCTGCCCAAACATTAAAAAATCTGAAAGGAATCTTGCCACTTGGTACTTGTGTTCTTATAGAGATAACCATTGGAGCATGATCTGAAATGAATGGAAGCCTATATTCTGCTTCCATATGTCCATACTCTTGCATCCATTCATCATTCCCTAAAGCTCTATCAATACTGCTATATACTCTATCTGCTCCTTGTTGTTTATTTGACCATGTATAGTAGTCTCCTCTCCAAGTCAGTTCATGTAAATTCAGGGTCTGCATACGCTCATTAAAGTCTTGTATTTCATTTCTAGTAACTGTTTTCCCACAAATTCTGTCTTGTATTGTTAGGACAGAGTTAAAATTACCCCAGATAATCCAAGGTTCAGTATTCTGAGGTGCATCAGCCTTCAGTTATTGCCATAGAGGTTTCCTTGCTTCAGTAGTATTAAATCCATACATTATTGTCATAAGACAATTTATAGTATTTTGTCTTCCTACAACTCTACAATGAATTGTTTGAGCAGATTTTCCTAAAACTGTAATGACATAACTCTGAGGATCCCAAAGAATCCAAATTCTCCCATTTATTGCATAATCAAGATTTATTTGTGACCTCTGAGGAGCCGTATGAGGTGTATCTCCAATTATAGCCCCTCTGGGATGTAAAATATATCTCTTCTAGTGAGCTTGCCATCTAGGTGCCACTAACTGTGAAATCTGAGCTGCTTTTTCCTTCTTTACTCTAGTTTCCACTAACCCCAATAGCTTTATATTGTTCTCCTTTATATAGGTACCTAACTCCTTTTGTTTGTATCTCTTGTTGGTACCCCTTATGTTCCATACCATCCAAGACATATCAAAGTTGAGATTGCCCACCTATATTAGGTGGTTTCAAGGTTGCTATCACAGCTGCACTCTGTATTGTTTGAGGTCTTTGCTTCACTGGAGACATTATAGCTTTGGCATAGGTCATTCGAGTGTCATCTACTTTCATTTTCCCTTTGTCTATCTGCCTGCATGTTTCAATTACTTCCTCTTCTTGCTGATGATCTTCCTTACTTTCAATTAGCTTAGAAGTATTCACATCTTCCTTGCTGTCTTCTTCACCTTGTTTTTGGCTCACTTCATCAATTGTAGCTTTAGCTGGCTCCTTAGTTCTCCATATTTGTTTCACTGGTGGTGGCTTCCTATTCCTGGGCTGAGGAATTTGCATATCACTTTCCTTTGGAATTCTACTACAGTTACGTCCTGCTTTTAAACATTTTTCACAGAACTCAGGTTTGCAATCATATTCGACTGCTTGCTCAAAAATCATCCCTTCTTCATTCATGACTGGAATGCCTGTTGGCAAAGGCTTTGTAACATTCACTTCTATCAGGATTCTAGCATAGGAAATTCTTGTCTGTTTGGCAGTACATTCATCTGCAAACATAGGAATCCCTATTGTGCTTGCTATTCTACTCAGTGAATTCCCACTCCAGCAATTCATGGGGAGTTTTGGAAACCTTACCCATAATGGAATGTCTGTCATGAATTCTGCTGCAAAATCAAAGTAAGGAGACCAGTGTTTCATTATCATTGGTCTATTATTCACTGTATAAGGCCCAACACACATGATTTCCTTCATATCCTCTAGTGATTGAAATCTCACAATATAATATTCTTCATCATGATAAAACAGATCTGGCATGGCAACTGTGTTCCACATCTGATTTATGTACCTTTTCATATAGTTGTATCCTGGTTTTTCACCCAAAACATAGACTATTAAGGCACTCTTCCATTTCAGATTTTCCTGGTCAATTTCTGACTTCTCAAGCTTAGCTACTAGATTCCCTTCTATAATTTCAGGAGTAATGTAATTCAGTGTCATACCATTTGCTACAGATCTATTGCTTGTGAGTACTTTAGCCCAGGTAGACTCTGTGGAGACAACTTGGTTTTGCCCCTTGTTCATTAATGGAACAGTAATTCCAGCTAGTGTCTTAGCTGTATTTTCCTGTTCTTTGCTCAATGGAACAATAACTTCTCCACCTGCAGGGGGTGTGATACTTCCTCGTAAATCAACATGCATAGGGATTGGACTCTGATTTGCTTGTTTCTGCTGTTGTTTAGCTGATCCTGAAGCTTCTCCATGGTAGATCTGTGTTAGAGGAACAGATCCAGTAATCACCTTCGATGTTCCAGAAATGGTTTCCATAAACTTTGTTGAGCTCCTTTCCATGGCGTTGAGCTTAGGCATTTTGTCATCTACACGGATTTGTTGCTTTCTAGGATGTCCACGAGCTTTCTTACCAGTCATGGCAACGACGACGCACGTTTGCTTAACATGCGCCGAGAGAACTTGGAGAAGAAAGCTTAATAATTGTAATTTTTGAAAAAAGTAATATTTAGAGTTAAGTTGAAAAATAATATTTAAAATTTGAATTTATATTTATACATGCATTTCACTTGAAAAAATATTACAATTTTGAAAAACTCATTTTCGAAAAATCTCCAAGAACTTATAAATTTTTATGGACAAACAAAGTTTTTTTGAAAAAAAAAATTCAGAAAAAAAATCAATTGACAAACAGGCCATAAAACAATATTCATATAATTAACTAATCTTATTCTTAGTTACTTAAACCGTTATTCGTAAGAGAATTAATAAATTCGAAAGTTACAGTTTTTATTACTTATATTAAGCTACGAAAATCTTGTTCTATAGGAATGGGAAAATTGTAAACACGGCAACCTAAATCAAGCTACTCCGTGATTTTGACGCGATACAGTCCTTTATCTTTAATCTCTTCTTGTTTCAGCGCATAAAGATTTTTTTTCATTTTTTTTTTCTACTGAACGAAAATATTCTTTCTATATGTACATATACTATCTGGAATAGGGGTGGCAAACATGCAGGTCGGTTCAGATATGATCGGGTTGAAAAAAACGGATAAAATATCCAATCCGACCCATATTTTATACGGATAGAAAACGGGTTGACCGGCAGATAATATGGATATCCATATTATTCATGGCCTCTTGAATATGATCACTTTTGGAAAAATTTCTAGTCTTCCAAACTTGAGGAAGCCCTAATTTGAACCTTTATAAATGTAAAAGTTAAACCCATTGAATATTCGTTTTTTAAGTGGATAATATGGTTTTTATCCATAGTTGACCTATTTTTAAAATATTCATTATCCAACCCATTATTAATGGATAACATGGATGGATAACTATTTTTGTTATCTATTTTGCTACCACTAATCTGGAGTGATGGCAGTAAATCAACTTTTGAAGTTGGAGGGGGTGAATCATTTTATAAGTTAAATAGAAAAGAATGGGAAGTTTAAAGCCATAGTCTTCGAGTCAATTTGGTCAATCCTACATATGTAGTGTCATGGGCGGCTTTCCAGCCATGCCCCATAATCCCTTAGATGCGCCCCATGGCGTTCTAGCAAGCCTCCCAATGCCTAGCTTCATGGACGATCCCCTGGTCTTGGCTGCGCCAAGTGACAAGCGTGCATGTGCCTTTGTCGCCCCACCGATAGCCCTCGCCAGTGCCACCCGCAGGCAGATGCCAACAACGCCGCGCGTACAGACCGTGATGCCAAAGACAAGGTTGCTGACAACGGATCTGTATCTACCTTATAGTAAACTAAGTCCTTTTCATTGTAAATATAGTGTAGTTTCATTTCATGTACTTCCGTTATGATTCTCTAGCTTAGTTAGATCAAGTCTTGTAACTTTGGTTTATTTTTTAAGCGCTTTTAGGTGGGATCAAGCAATCAAACTCTAGCAAGCAAACAATTCTCTGTACTGGTGTCTCTCCCCCTCAACACCGTGCTGCTTTTCTGTAATAGCTTTCATTAATGCAATCAAGCTTTCTTTCATTCTCAATTCTCATTTCTGTTCTCTCAGTTGCTCTTGACATTGGTTTTTTCGTACGACACTGACAATCTCGTCTAGCATACGGAGGGGACCTCAGCTGGCAGATAGTAACTGCACTGACATCAATTGCTTAGCCTTACGTCGCCCAGCCAAGGAATCTCACGAAGGCGCCGCGTAACATTTGGTATTAGAGCCTAGGATCGATATCGGACGAGGGAACACATTGCCATTACTACCATTTCTGACCATGGTGAATCATGGGGACGGCATTGTGGTCCTTGAAGAGACGGTTGACGTATTACGGTCTATCATGGATATGGTGCTTGAACTAAGAACTAGCCTAGTGCAAAGGTTGGACGACCTGGACCGCGGAATGCTCCAGGCCGAAGTTGACATAGAAAACATCAGTCGCGACTCTGAAAGAGACAGGCAAACAGCAGCCACAGAGGCAGCCAAAATTTTTGGTAAATTTGAGGGCCTCCAACAGGAGCGTGCCGAGGATTTATTCTACAGGGAACAAGAGGCAGACAGGTTGACTGCCATGCAACAAACTATAGACAACTTGACAAGCCAGCTTAATGTTGTCAATGCTGCTTTACAAGGCCTGCTTCGAGGAGGAGGAAACCAAATCGGGGGTGCTGGAAAGCTTCATCTTCGACATCGAACAATACTTCAATGCCGTGAGGGGCTTAGAAGAAGCTAAGAAGGCAGCAATTGCTTCCATGTATCTTCAGGATAATGCTAAACTCTGGTGGCGGGTAAAGTACGAAGCCATCAGGGCTGATGAAGATGCTCTCAAGACATGGGCGGAACTGATGGCAGCCATACGCCTACAGTTCTTCCCCGAAAATGTTGAATACAATGCAAGGAGAAAGCTATGGGAGCTCCGCCAGACCAAATCAGTACGGGACTACGTGGGGGAATTCTCCGCGCTCATGTTGAACATATGTGACATGTGGGACAAAGACAAACTCTTCACCTTCTTGGAAGGGTTGAAACGTTATGCCCGTATGGAGCTGCAAAGACAAAGGATAGATACCCTACCCAAGGTGATCCAAGCAGCTGAATGCCTTGGGGACTATCAAGTGGAAACTGGGAAGGATAGGCCTCAACCGCCTGTCCGAGCAGGATACAAAGGGGGCCAGCCTAGAAATGGTGACCCTAGCAAAAGTGGAGGAGACCGGTGCAACAAAATCTAAGGCTCCTTCCTCAGGCAACAATAGTGCTGCGTCAAACAACTGATAGGGGGAGAAAACCCCTTTTAGGATGCCGTCATAGTGGCAGACCACATTGGAATAATGAATACCCACATGCACAGATGAACGCCCATCAAGCTTTTGATGATGGGATGGATGACGACACAGATGATGCATACTAGACCGAACTAGTAGGTGCCTTCAATG